GGGTGGGGACGTTGATTACAACTTACTGAGGAACAAACTATGAGCCATTATGTTTTCCTTGATTCTCACCTGGACTTGATGATGGCTGTATACAGTCAGCATACAACTGTTGAAAACCTACAATACTTGAAACAAAAACTTATGCTGGCTTTCCGATGAAAGTACATTTTTAAGTGCAATGCCAACTCCCTCGACAATTAACAACAACTGTTTTTAATTTTAGAGAGGTGGAGGGGTGAGGGCTGAACTAAGGTGGGGGAGGTGGAGGGGTGAGGGCTGAACTAAGGTGGGGGAGGTGCAGTAGAAACCTAAAGTTCAAGATGGAGGGCTTATTGAAGAGAGGGGCGTTATTGAAATGGAGGCCTACAAAAGCTTTATAGTTACTACTGGAGAGGGGGGTGGTGTGTTTGTCCTTGTTGAACTGGTATTGATCTCATTCAGTGTGTTTCAATGCTATCAGCTGCTTTAGCGAATGGACACAAGGATAGTCACACTTTAGGGTGTGAGATTTGTCCAAGACATGATACAAAATGTTCTGAGAATTCCTTACAGCTGCATTCATGCCTTTTTAATGTTCTGTTTGATGCAAATACCAAGCGTGAAAAAGAGAAGTTAAAACAGCACAATATTGGAGAGCTGGTCCCCTTTCTTCTCAACTACCTCAGAGAAAAAACCTTGCACCACTTGACTCCGCGACAAAGTGCTGCACCAACACCCAAGAAGACATCAGTGTCCCATGGCAAAGGTGCACCAGAAAAAGCTGTCAGTGTAGGAAAGGGGTCCTCTAGGGGGAATTTGTTCCCTCCACAGAAAACCCCTTCTCCATCCCCTGGTACTCCTTTGTCACAAAGTCGAAGAGATAAACTACATGAGCAATATTCTTCACCCTCTTCATCACCAAATTTCAAGCGAAAATCCTCTAAAGAGAAGGCAAATGAGAAGATTTCACCACTGGTTACACGACCAAAGTTAAATATTGATGATCCAAATGATTTCCCTGCTATAGGATTGACTAGGTGAGAGTGTGTAGTTATTATTAAACCTCTACGCACCAATATCAGTTTGTTCTCCATACTGTACTTAATCACATTTCCTAAGGTTCTCATGTGGATTATTTGTTACAATCAAGAGCTTCTTTAGTTGGTGATCATTTACTTTATTTTCCTGACCTTAATGTTTGATTTAGGAGTGATATTGTAAAGAGAAATTGGATACTACTTGACTTTGGGGTCAAAGTGTTAAACTATGATTTGATTATATGTTTTCACGGATGTATTACTTGTTGTAATCTTGAACATTGTTTTCTTGTCAACAGCAAAAAAGTAACACCTTCACGGAGAATCACACCAACACAAGTCAAAGGTGATGGTAAAAAGGGAAAATCTTCACCATCATTCTCATCATCATCATTTTCCAACTCGCATTCTATGCTGGACAGCCATGGAAGTCCAGCTTCTTTACAAGAAGAAAGGGATTTGTTGAAACTTATGAAATCCAAAAGGAGAAATAAAGGGGATTCCCCTTGGGGAACTAGAACTAGTCCCAGTCCCCAAACTGGGATCAGATCCCCACCACTTCATGTCTTGGGAGATTTCTTTGTAACTCCACCAAAACATGCAACCGCAATGCCTGATCCCTGGCAAAAGAATAATTCAAAACCAGATGACAGTTTGATTTCAACACCTTCTCCTTATAAGTGCCCTAATACAAATGAAGCTTCTGATATCCTGACTACAGACCGTGGAAGTTGTCAACAGTCTGAGAAACAAAGTTCTATAGAAAAGATTCAACCTGTACAGGCAGTGAAAGACAAAGTCATTTTTCACAATAAACTGGATGCTCTGGCTAAAATTTATTCGAGATGTATAATGGGTGAGTTTGAATCTTTCCAATATTGTACATAGATACTGTATGTCCTTCATCTGGCTTTTTTACCATAATAATTTGAATATATGTACAAAGTTGAAATGGTAAATTGGCCACCGTTACGATTATAAAAGCTGACATTTCAAGCGTTAGCCCTTTGTCGGAGTTAATAGGGGAATTGTGGGTTGTGTGTGCTTTTAAAGGCAGAAAATTTCGTTACCCCCACTGACACAGCCCCAAACAGTTTCTAAACTATCAGCCTTTTTTTACCATAAATTGGATGCACTAGCTAAAATTTAATCAAGATGTACAGTGGGTAAGTTTGAAACTGTTCAATCCAATGTTGTACATAGATTTGTCCTTCATCTGGCTCAGTAGTTTATCAAAAGAATAATATTACTTCTTATCTGCTGGTTAAGTTTCTATCCAGGGGATAAATTTTATCCATTTTGTTTCCTGGGTGTTGAAGGATGGCTAAGGTTATCTAGTAGGGAAATAATTTATCCATGTTGGGTTAGAAATTGTAACTTTTTAACTACTGTGTAATTGTTTAAAGTACAGTTGATTGTGGATTACCTCAGAGACACTTGTCAAAGAATCAGCAGCCTGACATGATGGTTTATGGTTCATTTATTTCACACTATTTACATAAAATTAACATATTACATAGAAAAGTAAAGTTGCAACAAATGATTACAGAATAGAATAAATAAAGTACAGATTATAAAAATGTGTGTGGTGGCCAAAGTAGCAAAGGCTCTCTAGTTGGCCACCACCTACTTTTAGATAAATAAAGAAATAGTACTGAGCTGGGATTAATGTGCAAGAAAGAATTATTGGTGTAAATTTAAGGTATGTTAGTGATATATTGAACCAGGCAAGAATCTATACAGGAAAAGCTTCATAAGAGAAGAACAGACACACATACAGACAAACAAACAACAGCAACATGAAGAAAACATGAAGAAAACATGCAGTTGCATCAACTATTTAATGACTAATCACTGAAGTGGATGTGAACAGTTGTTTTGGTACTAAAAAAACACAGAGATGATATAGCACAAAAAGATGATTTTTATTCAATATTACAATATTTTCATGTGCAAGTGATGGGCTAGTTGTGAGGAGGCAAATAGCATAGGAGTAGCCAATCAGAGCACTCCTTCAATGCTAGCTAGTGTTTTACCATACACTAATGAGAAGTCATCTGTCATCTGTGAACTCAGATCCAGTCATCATTTCAGATCAGGAGCAGTGAACTGCATTGCCAAATGTGCTGATGAAACTACACCCTATGCAAAAATCATCCTGTGCTTTCCTGTGAGAAAGCAAGCTCTTCATCACCCAAGATTATTTATATTCGCTCCGACGAAGGGCTAACACTCGAAACGTAAGCTTTTGTAATCACCACGGTGGCCAATTTACCATTTCAACTTTGTTGATATATCCAAATTATTTCGTTACCCCCACCGACGCAGCCCCAAACAGTTTCTTTCGAAACTATCAGCCTTTATTCATTATTCATATTGGTCTTGAATTTGTTTCTTGTAATAATCAGAGATTACCGAGTAATTTTTAGACTTCAACTTTTCAACATTTTCCACCATGTTGCCTCACCATCAGTAAGACAAAAATATAAAGATGCAGTTCTTTCAATTTCAACGTGGCAACTGTCTGGATAGCTATAAACATGCAGCAATATACATCACAAAGTCTGTACTTTCTGCAATTTTTTTATTTGCTGGATTGCCATCCCATGGGTTCCCATTTTATTTATTGAATGAGCTCATTCAGTGAAAATACTTAATATGAGGTTTTGAACAACTAGGGCCTGGTGTTTGTCTGAGCTTTTACTTACAAATGGATTCTCAAAAATAAAACTGTAATCACATTTATGCAAGGGAAATTGGTAACCTGTGATTTTGTCTTTTTTTATCATGTAGAAAACTTGGTTCCTAATGTTACAGCAGAAGTATATTTTGTGATACAACTGTTGACTGCAAGAGGCATTGCTCCTGAATCAAGGCATGAAGACAATCATGGTAACAACATTTTTTACTATAAATATATACAACATTGTTGTGAATATGAACTTCATTCAATTGATTTGTAATGTGATTTCAAACCAGTAAAAACTATTTCAAGGCATGAAATTTCTGTTGCAAAAAACAGATTTCAGTGGATTATTGTCATGGCACTTTGTCAGGGGAATCCCATCTATGGAAGGGGTGGGATAAATGATATCAACACATTAGGGAGCAGTCAATATTAAGGTGATGAAATTTCCCAGGGTTAAGGGGGGGTACTTGAGCTAATAGGAATGGGTGGCTGGATGGGGTCACATTTTCATGACTAGATTTACTATTATTAACGGGTTACATTTTCAATTGCATAACTAGAATGGGGTCATGCATTTTCAGGAGTTTGAAAGTAAGAAAATTCTGGTTAGTGGGGATTTTAAAGTAAGGTAGATACATAAACAGTAATTAATAAAGTTGGGTTGGCAAAAATTATATTTGCCCAAAAGTGACTAAGATTGGCCACAGAAAAGACTCCAATGAAGAAAATGGGTTCTGAGAAGCCAGTGGCACATAGCCAACAAAAATTTACCTGAGCCTCCCCTCCTCTCCCCCCCACCTTCCCCCACCAACAAAAATTTACCCAAGCCTCCCTCCCCCCCACCATCCCCCTTTGGGGAAATTTTATGATAAATTTACCTTTTCTGAATATCTTCTCTGGAGATTCAAGGTAAAGCTGTTTTGGGTAACAAGAAAAATATGGAAAATCTTGCTTAGATTTTACTTTCATTGATGGCTAATCATTAATTTTACCCTTGTTAGGTAATAATGCAGATGATCAAAATATTCTGGATACAATACATAATTGCACTTACTTTGCTGTCACTGTGCTGGAAGAGATTAAGGGGTATGTTGGACGCCTTTTAGAACACAATTATTTTCCTCATCTTGAAATCTCATCCATGTTTATTTTTTTGTTTTTCTTTGCCTCATGTTTGACTTACATTTTACAGATTAGTACTTCTGTTGGACAAGGAAACTCTACGTTTGTTGGCTGATAATCCACGGGTATGTGATGGGAATTGCTTTCTTTTAAATACATTTTTAGATATGCCACACAATTAACTGGTTTGTATATTTGAATACAAATCAGATTGAGTATCAAAAGGTACAGGAAAAAAAGAAAAGGTACTGTTTAGAGTTTTTTGGTGGATTTTAAGACAAAGGACTTCGGGGCTGTGCTGTAGCAAAGCCCATGTGACACAGGTCATAAACATTTTACTCAGGTAGCTTGCTAACTTCTCCTCTGTAAGAGCTTTTTGGAGCTTGGCATTCAAGATTTCCAGGATAAAGGATTTTGAGCACTCAGAGTTTTTTTATAATAGTACCTTTGCTATTGGCTCTGGCTAAATGATTTTATAAACATGGCTATCTCATAGTGGGCCTGTCTTTGTAAATTTAAATTCCAGTGGTTTCTTTAAGGGACTGTTGTTCCATCCATGATTACATGTAGTATTAATAAGCACTCAAGTTTGTCAATCTGAGGAAGTCTGAATGTAGCTTGTTTAGTTGTTATTTTATGTACTTGCAAGAGTTACATGATTGGAGAGAGTCCTTCATTGCAGGGCTTTATTCTTTCTAGACAGACAGACAGACATCTATATTTATACAGGGCTTTATTCTTTCTAATGTTGGTAGATTGCAGATTTTTCACCAAGTCTTAAAGAGACATTTCTCCAACAGTACAAAACCTACTCAGTTAAAAAGGTGGGAACCATTTTGTTTTGTTTAAAAGTTTACCATCTTTTTATTTTTTACAAGAGGAATGAGGCGATGAAATGAGTTAAAGATTTACATTTACAGGTGTACATATTTTCTTACATGATAATGATGATCATAACAGAACATGGCTGTGCTCTAAGAAGAATTGAAGGTTGCGGAGTGTTCTGAAACTGTGAAATCCAGGGTGCCCAGTATATGCTTTCTTATGAAAAAACTAAGATTCTTGAGTCGCCCAAGAGCAAAAGTAAGGTTCCAGGGGCCACCGGGCACTACTAGACCACAGCCCTCCAGTGGTAACAATAAAAGTAAATTTCATAGGAATTAAAGATCATGAAATATGTTATTCCTCCCAAGGTTTGTAAAATAAAAATCGTCATGTACACTTACAGCTTTAAAAATAGAGAAACAGTAATGATGGTGGTAGCTTAAATG